CCGTCACCCAACAACCCCAGCCCATCACCTAGCAACACAAGCGGAACTCTAGCATAATTGGTCAGCTGGTTTTACTACTGTATGCCGTGTACAATGGCTGCTGGAAAAGACAAGTGCTTTGCTGCTGATTAATTATCCCGAAACCACTTTCTGCATTCTTGTGGGTTGTGCAAAACGCTCTACTTCTGCTTTTCAAAGATGTACAGTTGTATTATTATGTGTCTGTTTACAGCCATTTTTATGTGCGAGTCTAAATGCTGAGTTGAATTTTTTGGATTTAAAGTAAAACATTCTGAAAGAAGCTAAAAAATAGGCAGAACTGACTAGACTGACTAGACCATAGAAGTATCGTAACTTGTTTAAGGAAGAGTAATAGGTTACCTTTCAGAAAAAAACAGGCATAAAAAACCCCAAAATTATGAAATAAAGGGAGATTTTAACTAATAAAAAAAACATAAAATGGCATTTTAGGCACTAAGATGATCATTATAAGCCCTCTAAACTTAAGAGATATTTTGCATGTATAACAATTACATTTGAAAAGCTGTGGCAGTGTAATATTGCCTCTCAAAGCCTATGCTGCTGCAAATATGCAAATAGTATGCCAACAGTAGATTGTTTGGCTTTTCTTTTCTGGCTAGCCAGTGGCTGTGCCATGTTCTCCTCTGTTCCTTTCACCCACTCTCCTCTGCTCATTCCATCCTACAAACCAACCCCACCTGTGATCTGTCCTCCACCCATCTCTCCCACCCTCCCTTCCTGATCGTGACCCAGCGAGGAGGCCAGCTCTCCTTTGGCGTGAGTACAGCAGCGTCGCCTTTCCATCCTCCTCAGACTCATGGCTTCTTTGTGCCCTAACAGCTTGTGCATTGCTCCAGATGCTTCACTTATATACAGATATGTGCATTTATTTGGTAATAATGGGTTATGTGTCATTGTGTTTGAAGGACGAACCGTCTAACTGTGACTCTTTCATGAACTCGTTAATGTTGAGAAGTACTTCCAGGTACTTCGGGAAAAGTGTGAGACTGCAGCTTGTGTTGAAGATCTCGAGCATTACGTAATCTGGAACCTGTGATTTCATCCGAAAAGATGACAAAAACTGAAACTCACTTGCCTAACCCTCTGAGGAATGCGGTCATGTTGCCTTATAGTTCCCTTACTGCAGGACCTCCACATCTGTCTGTTAATAATAGAGGAGCAATAAATGTGTCTTTATGTCCACAAATTGGATCAAGTTGTGCTTCAGGAAATTTATTGTCCCTTAATAGCTTTTCAGTGACAGTGAGTTTGTTTTTGTGGTGCATCAGAGATTTTAGAAAGAATGAATGAGACACAGAATGGATTAATCAAGAGTTTAGTCTTAAAACAATACAATTTTCAAAATAAAAATGATGACAGTGAATTTAAAAATCATTAAATGTTTGACCTCACATCTTAAAAATATGTCTATTATCATTTTTATTTGGTACATTTCTAAGGACATCTAACTGATCATTTCTGTAGTTTAAATTTACACTTTTAATTTTTATAGCTAGGAATAAGAAACTCAATGTTACAACATAAAAAGTACAAATTATTTCATAATCATGGCTTTAAAAGTTTAAATTATAACTAATTTTCTTTACCATCATTCCACCTTGAAAATATATTTATATATTATTTTTTAAGTGGGTGAAATGGGCTTTCATAATATTTTTATATTTTCTTTAAATTGTTAATTTTTTGCTCTCACTGAACTAATTTTGTGTTTTATAAGTCCAAAGTCAGAATTATAACTTTAAAAGTTTGAATCTTGAATTTGTGAGTCACAAAATGAACATAAATTGTGCCAATTTCATTTTAAGTGGTAGATATATTCATATATCCAAAAATGTCTGCGATTGATACCTTTTCAGTCTAAATTATAGCTCAGTGTCTCAAAATTGATTTTATCATCAAAATTCTAAATTATGACTTTTAATGTAAAAATGATGACTTATTTATATTTTACTTCGTAAAAATAATATTCTAAATCACATTTTAAAACAAACATATGTATTGTTACAAGTAGATATTGTGTTTATTGGATCTGTCACAGATGTAAAATAGCTTATTAGTGCCCCCTAGTGGCAGTAGTTAACCTGTACATCAAGAAGGCAGGACTGTTCCTTCCAAAGAAGAGCAAAATTATAAATATGGGTATAAAATGTTTCCATTTGTGACCTGAGTTTCCTCTCTACCCTGCAGTGGAGCTCTCCCGATCAAGGAGCCTGTGGTGGATTGTGCTTCTCCTGTGTACCAAGCCGTGATCCGGGCACCAGACACAAACCAGGACATGTCTGAGTGGGCCCGCCGTGCCGCCAACCTGCAGTCGAAAAGCTTCAGGATTCTGGCTCACATCACTGGCACTGAATACCGTCAGTACCATGCTCACCGAACGTTTCCTCTGCCCTCTTTTTGCATGCTCTGATTTGATTTTTCTGATTATTTCTGTACCTTTTTGTCATCACAGTGCAAGATCCAGACGAGGAGGCACTGCAGAAATCAAGGTGAAGGTTCATCTACTTTCCTGGGAAGCAAATGTTTTTTAATTTTCTTTAGACTTTTGTCTCAGAAATAAAAATAAGAGTCCAGTAACGATCCAGTCAAATACATTCAACATAAACAAGTGTTATGTGAGAGCAAATTAAAGTAAAATTAACTATAAAATATATATATATATATATAAAAGAGAGGATATCAATCAAAAGAAACTAATTGTATGATTATGAAAAATACTCTACAAAAGAATATTAGTATCTTACCAGAAAACAATATAATATGACAGTAATGGTTGTTTTCCTTCTTAAAGCTGTTTGAGCCAGCTGGATGGGTTTTCTGGGGTAAACCCTGCACAGGATCAGTTTTATAAACATTTATGATTTGATTCTGAGCAATAGTTTTAGAAAACATCCTTCAAACGCCACACTATATTTTTTGGGGTTGAATGCAGTGTTAGAGCAGAAGCTTGCAGCTTACATTAGAACAACGCTAACGTCACCTGCTTTGCTGCTTCTCCTGATGTGACCTCCTTGTCCTGTCGCCCTCGCCAACAGAGAGCGATTCGAGTCAGAGGTCAAGGGGCCGCGCTTTGCCAAGTTGAAGAACTGGCACCACGGATTGTCTGCACAGATCCTCAACGTCCAGGAATAAAGAGGAGGCGGAAATTCAAAGAGAGGGAAGAGTCGCAGGAGAAAGGAGGACATATAAATGTGGGAAGAGACAGGAAGTATGAGAGAAAATGAACAAGAGGAGAAAAATGAGCTATAGCCGTTGCCTAGATCAGTAGAAAGTGTATTAATGTTAGTATGAGAATGCTATGTGTTTATAAGTTAAAGTGTCAAATATATCTGTCTCCTATTTAGATCTGCTCTCATGATAGGTTGTTTCTTTTTTCATGTCCTGATTATTGGAGAAAATGTACAACAAAAAACAAATATTGAAGTGAAACTGCAGAAATGTTTCCTTTTTTTTTGCTGCTGGAGATAAACCGTAGATGTATGGATTTTAAAAAAACTATATGAGCACGTTTGTCAGATGTGACAGCAAGAGGAGTACACAGTTTATCTATATGCACAAGTACAGTATGTAAAAATGCACTCAGAAATGTACTGATATCAATGTGAATAAATGTTTTATTAAATCTACAGATGGTGCCGTGTTTTGAAATGACTTGAGGAAAGAAAGATTAACAATAATGTGATGAATAATCTGAAGAAAAAACAGATTTTTTTAAACATGTTTTCTAGTTCTTAGTAAGCATGAGTAACAAAAATTGTTAAAATAAATAGATGAAACATTATTGGCATTTCCAGACTTTGTAGTCCCAAGTTTTGTGTGATTCCCTGCATCGGTCATCTGTGGTTAGAATGAATATTAAAAAAGAAATGTATACATTAATAATATATGTTAAACATTTGTACTTATACGGTTTTCAGTGAGTTCCTGCCACTGAAAGATGGGAAAACTAAACCATGCAAGACACAAATCAGGTCCCCATTAAAAACTTGTAAGATTACAACAAAATCACTATTCCCTTTGTGAATCATGGTGGTGGCAGCATCATGCTGTGGGGACTCTCCTATGCACTTGGGCCAGGGCAGCTGGAAACAGACCAGTTAAAGGTTTTCAGACTGGGATTCCAGCGTGAAAACGACCCAAAATATGAAAACTGAGTTTAAATGGAAAGGTTTCGATCAAAGGTGTCCAAAGTGTGGCGCAGGGGCCATTTATGGTCCCCTGAAGGACTTTAAAGTGTCCCTCCAGGATGAAATCTGGCCATTTGTAGCTGCAACTGCAGCAAAAGGTGGTGCTGTAACATCCTCACACCACACCTTTCAGATTTTAATTTGCATGTTTAAAAACTCTGCATCGTTTTCTTTCACAATTATGCTCTACAAAAAAAACATTAATATTTGTGTTTTTAAGTGTGCCAATTGTTTAGGGGGTCAGAATAGTTTTGCAGGATCTGCTTACAGTTGAAGTCAAATAAAGTTTCTTGAGCGTTGCCACAAGGCTGGTCACGATTAACGAGACTGAGCAGAAAACAGTCTGAAAGACTAGCTGCTCTTTTTCATCACTAAATCTGGTGACATAAAACCTGATCCGTCGCTGCATCAGTGTCTGCAATGGCGCCAAGTCAGCAGAGGAAAGAGGAAGAGGAGGAGGAAGAGGAGGACGAGGAGCAGGAAGCTGGCTGTGACTCACTCAGGTGGGGATGACGAAGCACTTTTAAATCTCTTCACAACAACAAAATGGCCGTGGGGGCTCGTCATCTTTGCATTAATAAGAAGTAACTTGTTGCAGTGAAGCTGATGAGGAAGAGGAGGAAATGACATCACACGTCGGGATTACATGACAAAATGTCAGCTGGTTGGCCGGTTATATAACATGGGTTTGCATCCAGACCAGAGTCGGTGTGAAGGTGCAACCAGAGAGGCGGTGAGGGGCGGGGATGCTGCATGGGGGGCGGGGGGAAATGCTGCGGCATCCAGCCATCTCTCTTCCTCCTTCTCCTCTTCCTCCTCTCTCCATCTCGTCGGTATCTGCTCTCTCCTCCTCCCGTCTCTCCCTCAGTCTGCGTGCTGTGGTCCTGCTGTGAGCCGCGATCAGCGCTCTGCCAACCGGAGGAGGAGCTAAAAACAGGCACGCGCACTCTCAGACATCCCACATCATCATCACCATCACCACCACCATCATCATCATCATCCTCTGCTGCACGCTCACTGTAAGCACCAGCCAGGCCTGTTCAGAGCAGGGGAGCCCAGCCGATCCGTCGCCCACAATGGATGTACTGATGAAAGGGTTCTCCATGGCCAAGGAGGGGGTGGTGGCCGCTGCAGAGAAGACCAAAGCAGGGATGGAGGAGGCAGCAGCCAAGACTAAAGAAGGGGTGATGTATGTAGGTATGTAGCCTGAAAAGGAAGAGGAGAGGAAGATGCATTGGATGTTGTGTAATAATTTCTTTTGGTTTTCTATCTGGGTGAAAACAAGCGAGAGACGCAGAGGGAGGAGGAGGGACTAGTGAGGATACCGCTGCAGGACTGCTGCAGGACTCAGGGTGTGGGGCTGGAAAACGATGATGACAGAATCAGACGGGGTGAAGAAGTTGCATCTGGACGGGAAGCGGTGGAAATCTGGCGTCTGATGGGCAGAAATAAAAAAAAAAGTCATTTGAGGGATGGGAAAGGGGGGACACTGCGGAGTCCCGGGACGGTGCTGCAGGCTTTCGTAGCACAAATTCAAGATCAATCGAGTGAAACAGTGGGACGACAAAATGCTGAATGTCGCTTTTTGAAACCGTCTTTAAACATTTTTCAACCCCTCTTGCTGCTGTTTGCTGCGATTTTAATTTTAGCTCCAGCAGAGACTGCGTCACATCTCAAGGTTACCACCTGAGAGGAGGAGGGGGGCAGATAAGGAAGAGGGGTGATAAAGCAGGAGGTGGGTGAGTGGGCCTCAGTTGTTGGCCGCAGTCCGTCCCTTCCGCATCGTCTCTGACGTCAGGTTGCTGCTGCAAAGTCTTAATGGTGGCGTCCGAAAGCAGGAGTCAATGTCAGGAGGTGAAAGAAAAGAAGAGCGGTTCTAACTCTGCGTTGTTTGGTATTTGTCTGAAAAATCGTCTTTTAAAAGACAAGAACGGGATGCTGCAGATACTAGGGGGAGAAAAATAAATGTGGATCTGAGCAGGGGGAGGAAAGATGAGGTCGCTGAAGTGAGAAGGGTCGATAGCTGTGATGAAGACGACAGTATCCGCCTGCAGTCGAGTGCACATGCACTAAAAATAGACAGCAGCACAAGCAGTGGAGGTTGTTCATCTGGGTTATGTGGCTCTTTACCCAGAGCAGCACATTCTTGAGGGCAGCTGAGAGCATCTGCTGGGATTTGTTTTGCAGTGTAAGTTCTGTAGCATCCTGTCACACTTTAGCATTTCGGCCTTTTGTTTTCATTTTTACAGCAAACTCTATACTTCTGTCAAGTTATTGAAACTGAGAGTGAAACTGACAACATGGCCAACTATCGGAGTAATTTAGCTAATAATGATTTGATCAGTAGAGGAAAAGGCGGAGTATTAAAATTTCTTGCCCCGATGGTGAGTCGATTCTTAAATCTGGTCTGTGAATTTCATACTTTGGATACCAGTAAACATTCTCTATTCACACCATATTTCAAAGATGTCAGGACTTCATGTATGAAGAATATGGTTTACTTTCTCAGTTTTCGGCAATTGTTTTTCAATTGGGGAAAAAGTTACAGAAATATGAATCTCCAGCTTTGCTTGATAAAGTCGTAGGTTTTGATTGTTTTAAGGAACTGGAACAGCATTTGATTGTCTGAAGCTCAAAATCTTCAAACCTGAGCTAGATATCAAATATTTTAAATTTGATTTTATTGTTTTACATGTGTTAGTGCTTTAATTATCATTTTACTTTAAGACTTACATGCAAAGTGCATTATAAATAAATCATTAGATTATTCTCCACCGAACATGGCACCTTTTGAGATTTAATCTATTAATTTGACTTGTGAAAACATAAAAATGCATTTTTACATTTTTAAAGAAGAAAACTGCGAGAGCAGCCATTGGTTAACGAGATTTGCATGCAGGGCAGCAGGACAAGTCCAAATGTTAAGATGACTTCATTTGATTAATTTTTTTTTTCTTAGTGTGAATAGAAATAAGCCTGAAAAGTTCAAAATAATTTCCAGGAAATATTCAAGTCTCAATCTGTCTGCATTGTTCTCTCACAGGCTACATTATTCAAATTTTATTTTTCTAATAATCACGTTTTAGTGGATCGGTCGCAGCTTTCATCAAATCAGGGTCACTACAGAGCAAATCCTCTGCTGGAAAAAAAAAAACGATTAGAGATCCATATTTGCATGTTTAATATTAAAATTTCATAAAAATACCCCCTTTAATCCAAGCAATCTTCATTTATTCAGGCAAGACTTAGATTGGGATTATCATTTATGGTTGGGATTATTCCTTGCTCTGATCAGTCGAGTCCTGCGCGTCACCTTCTCCTGATGGTCAGTTGTTTATAATTTAAAAGCTCTGAACATTTGTGCAGCTTGTTGTGCAGCGCAGGGACAGACAGCGCCACTGTGGGGCTCCTTTAGTTAAACTGAGGGAAAAGTGTCTGTTTCACTGCAGTGTGCATGTGTGTGTGTGTGTGTGTGTGTGTGTGTGTGTGTGTGTGTGTGTGTGTGTGTGTGTGTGTGCGTGTGCGCGTGTGTGTGTGTGTGTGGTGTCCTGCAGCACTGCTCCGTACTCAGGCACGTGGATGGCGTACCTCGGAGAGCGTGCAGGGCGAGCAGCAGGCGGGGGAGGGGCGACGTGGTGTGGATGCATGAGGCAGCAAATCGCAGTTTCTGCATCTGTTCCGACGAGCCACAGAGAAAAGAGGCTCGGGTTGATGCTACTGACAATGACCTGCAAAGTTTTCTCTTCTTCTTTCTTATTTCAGCATAGATATTTTTCCCCATCCATCCGTCATTTCTGCAGATTATATAACTGGAGTTTAATCTGTCCGGGATGATGCTGCAGAGAGCACAGCGCTGGGGAGAGGAGGGTGGGGCAGGTTTTAATTGTTTGGGAGTTTATTGGGAGAACCGAGCTTTTCAAAGATCCAAAATATAAAAGAATCACTAATAACTAACCGCAAACTGCAGGACAAAAGGAGGCGAGGAGAAGAAAATACTCAGAATATTGAACAAACACAATCGGTCAGATTACAGCCAAACCTCACTGTATTTTATTGTAAAAGCACAAAATCTACCAAGTATCTAGTTTTAATGTTTAGTCTAGTTTTGTCTTGAGATAAAACAAAACTGTAGGAGCTTGTTTTAAGTAAAAAACCCATTAATATTGATGAAAAACTATTAGATCCACTGCCATATTATTTTATGTAAAACGAGATTTTTTCCCCACATTATTAGTGACATTATTTGCTCGTGGAATTACAACTTTTTCATCGATATTCAGAAATTATTGTCTTAAAATAAGCTTATAAGCTTATATATGGAAACTATTAAGAGACCACTTTAAATGACCAGTTTCTTTGATTTTACTTTTTATAGGTAAATGTTTGAGTAAAATTAACAAAGTTCTTTTATTCTATGAACTACTGATAGCATGTCTCCAAAAATCCCAAGCAAAAATTTTGTTTTTATTTCCAGAAAATGAGAAATGGTCAAAATAACGAACAAGGTGCAAAGAAAAGAAGTTTACATCAATTTAGAAACAACAATACTAATGTTTTAACTCAGGAAGAGTTCAGAGATCAGAGAATATTTGGTTTAATGACCAGGAGGTTTTCAACCACAGTGGGCTCTTCATTTTTTTTCCAGAGTTGTATTTTTGCTAAAAAAGTTATTTTTGTTCTTTATTTCAAATGTACTATGATATTTACACAAGAAACTTGACCAAAAATAGAACGATTTTGTGTTTTTGTAATGAACCCAATAGAAAACATAAACGGTTTTTAAATGTTTTAAAGATAAAACTCAAAAGTGTGGCATGCTTTTGCATCCAGAGCCCTTTACTCTTGTATCTCTGAATAAAATCCAGTGTAAACAAAATGCTTGAGGAGGAAACCGGATCTCTCAGTGTAATCTCCAACAATCTGACATTTATTAAAGATTTGCAGGAAGAGAGCCGTTGCTGAAAGGAGAGTATAAAAAAATCCTGCTTGTTGTTTGTAACAAACCATTTAGAAAAAACAAATCAATCATTAGCGATCAGATCAATTAATTGCATTATAAAGAAAAACAAGCACGATTGTTTTTCTCGTGTCTCTTTCTGTGAAAGTCTGGATGACAAAAGGCTTCAGTTTGGTGCTTTTGTCTCAACCAATCCATTTTGAAATGATACAGCAGACATGGAAGAAGACGCTCTGGTCAGTGGCTGAATACATCATAAACACACCACACTTTTCAGATTATTTTGGTAAACAATATTGAAAATTAATTCATCACATAATCGGTAAAATACTCCATTAACAGCTCTAATATGGCAAAATGTGGAAAGCTTGAAAAGCTTTTGCAAAGTGTCTTATTTTCATTTAATTTCTCCATTATTTTCAAATCAAACCAAAATGAAAACAAAAATAGAAATTTGAAAACAATATTCTTTAATAGAAAAACAAAAAACTGTGAAATACGTCAATTGTGAAGGAATGTAATTTTTATTTTCTTTGGTCTGCAGGAAGCAAGACAAAGGAAGGAGTTGTGTCATCAGTAAACACAGGTAAGAAAAGCTTCATCTGACAACAAATTAAGTCCTTTTATTAACCGTACTGATTTCCAGTTTAAAACCCACAAAATTAACTAATTAAATGCAACAAATATTGACAATAAACAAAAAATATATATTCTGCAGTTTGTTTAAGTATAAGTGCAGCAGAAAACAAAAGCTTTGAAACTGTATCCCTGCCCCACAGTTTGTCGCATATATTATATATTAATATATTAAAAACAAAAGTTTAAAAACACAACAAACAGCATTTAATCCACTCATCTGATTATAGTCAAAGCTGATTACTGGAAACGATCAGTGGGTCAGTGACACAAACTCTTAAATTGAAACTGAAGTTCCCATTCTTGAGATGTTCTAAGAGTGTTTTCTGTCGTATTACACAAAGAAATGTTTAATAAGATTTTTTTAAAAAGCTTCAATGGCTCCATATTTCACAGAAGACCAGACTATAATCCAGATGAAGACGTCTCACCGTGTCGCCATCACTCAGATCAGGATTACCAACTTTTTCATACGTTAAATTTTTAATTGTTTAAATAATCTCAGATTTAACTGAATCAATAATCTAAATCAGAGTCTGACTTGGTTTAAATATGGAATAAAGAATGAGAAATGCAACGCCTCTTTTTTTAAAGATATTTGAAACATTTTGTTTCAAATATTGATATAAATAGATTAATGTATTGAACAGAAATCTTGCAGCTCTTATTATATTCAGATTACATGCATGGATGAAGGCAGATGGAAAAGCTGCAGGTTCACTGAACATCTCATCCATTGAGCCATTTTGATTATTCATCTCTTTTTTGCAAAGATGGCGGTCTTTCAAACACTCAAAAAATTGCTCTTTGGATTGTGAAGATTAACAATAATCCCAGTACTGTGGGCTGTGATCGCTGTCCTGCTAATGAGAACCCAACAAAACCCAATTAGCTCCAGCTATCACTAAATTATCTGCGCTGCGTCTAAAACGTGCGCTGAAGGAGTGCGTGGGGAGCCTTCCCACGGTTGTCCCACTCACCCGTGTCGTTCCTCCCCGTGTCAGTGGCCAACAGGACCGTGGACCAGGCCAACATCGTGGGAGACACGGCGGTCGCCGGAGCCAACGAGGCGTCACAGGCGACCATCGAGGGCGTGGAGAACGTGGCTGCGTCAACCGGGATGGTCAGTCAGGTCGGTTACCATGGAGACGCTTTACGATTCGACAAACGTCACCTGCTGTTTGGTTTCCAGCCGCCAGAGGGAGCTATTTGCACCGTTGTGAAAACGCAGCGTTTGTGTGTAACTCTGCTTAGTATTATGTGCTTGTTTATTTAGATTAATTTCTGAACTTATTGTTAAAATGTTTTTTTTGGAAAACAAAAACTTATTCTGGGTTTGTTTCATCCGACTGTAAATCTGAATCCATCTAAAAAACTTCAAGGATTTTTTTCGATTCATGTTATTTTTACAAGAGTTTATTCTGGCTAATTTATAGTTCATGAGACCAATTTAAAAAGTTCTTTGTGATGCAAAATGTTAAATTGTGGTCCACACTATTATGCAGAATGTTAGTAACTTTACAGTTACACAGCAGAGACTTACTGGAGGCACAAAAGGGAACTGGTTGTTCAGAGAGATCTGGATCCAAGCGTATCGAAGGAAAGTTAAATGGAAGGAAAAAGTTTTCCATCAGGGGTTCAAAGTTTTTAAATTTAACCAGTAAAATGAAAAATGCTTTTTAGGAATAATGTAATTTATTGCGATTAGACGAGGACCAGAGTCTACTGAGTTTCCTCCACTCCTCTATGTTTATCGTTTGTGTGTAATATTGCACAAACACACTCTGCATTTAATGAGGGATGCAAATCTGTGCTGTTATATATTTTACTTGCGAGCTCCTGACATTTGTTCACCCTTTCTCTGATTTTTCTGTTAACTTTTCTGTCAGACGTTAAATGTTCTCACATTTAACTCTTGTGACTTTTGATCTTGAATGCAAGAAGTTATTTTATTTTATTTTTATTTTTTTGTGGTGTCAGTGTCTCCTGTTTTGTGTGTTGTTGTTGTTGTACTTCAGGTCAATTTGTCCCTTTGCCAATTTGCCATTTCTTCCCACCCACATTCACAATGTACACACAGATATAAACATTGCATACTCATGTACAAAACCACTTTAGTTCTGAACTATTGAAATGAATTGTGAATTTTAATCATCCACATATACTATAAGTAGAGGATTTTATTTATTTTACCTGGAATCATCTCAATAAGATCTAAAATGTCTTATTGGCCAAGACAACAACATAAACGTTCCACGTTGAAAACACAAGTTGAAATATGGATTAATTGGATTGGATTCATAGCATGATTGGAGCTTAATAAGCTCCAAAAATAAGAACTAAAACCAGAATCATTTACAAATCATATTGCTGCAGATACACTAATATTTTCAAGTGAAATATTTTCACTGTCTCTGTAGTCATTTGTTGATTAAAGAGACACTTTTATAAATCTTTTTTCTCTCACTAAAAAAATTGTTTTTGAAGTTACAAAGTACATTTCTTCTTAGAAAAATCCAAGATATTAGTAAACAGATAGCTGCCTAATCAAGGGCAAAAAATCAAGCAGAAGTTTACAAAACCCACATAAAAGTGAAGCTTGTGTCAAAATGTCTGCTACATTTTAACACAATTTACTTAAATAATAAGGAAAAAGGAGCCAAATATGGGCCCCTGAGGGACCTTTCTGAAAGAGCAACGATCAGGAGGACAGACAAAAACTGTAACAGTTTGCGTTTTACCAAACCTTCCAGTATTGACCAGTTTACAGCATTATGGAAAATAGATTCTTTTCAAACCTGAAAATCTGGGAACAAAAACACCAACATTCAAAATGGTGAAAGGGCTGAAATGACCAGAATTTGTTGTTGTTGTTGTTCTCATTGTTTGTTTTATTTGTTTTTCTTTTTTATGCTGTTTGTGTCTCATCTGTGTTTCTCTGATAGGAGGAGCCCATATATGAGGTACAGCAACATGGAGGTTTTAGCCCCGCATGCTAACTAATAGCTGCTGGTCTAATCTATTAATTTAGATCTAAGGTTTCTTGCTGCTTGCAGCAGGTGAGCATCAGGAGGAATGGTTGGAAAGCTGCTGGTTACATCACCGCATTTTGAGTTCAGAACAACAAATAATGTAAAAATGTAAAAATACAGTAAAGCTTTTTGAAGGTTTGAAAGCATATTGATGTGCTTAATTTATAAGGATTACAAAATATTCAAATTACAACAAAAAGAGGGAAGTTTTTTTTTTTTTTTAATGCCTTATAAAAGTATTGAAACCCCATGAACTCTGATTACAGTTCTAAAAAAATTACTGGCCTTTTGTCTGTAGACAAATGCACGCCACACTTTTCAGATTCTTCTTCATATAAGGGAATAATCCATAAATACTTTCACCAGGTATCATATTATGCTTCTTTTATTTTCCTTCCTGCTGCTCACATTGGTGTCAGGCAACGTTTTACTAACTAATACAAAATCTTTTCATTTCTAATCGTTGTGTCTCCTCCAGTTTACCAGATCAGGTAGTTAATGACACACAAAGTATTTCTTGATATTTTTATTCCCCCTTTCAACTTTTGGTTTGCAAACTTAAAAACTGTAACAAACTAATAGCCTAAAAATCCCAAAGCATGTTGATTTGTTCCTCCCAGCATGTTTTTCCATTCAAACCAGTTTGTAGAACGACGTCTTAGTGAAAACAAAACTTAAACATTTGTTGATGCTGAGATCGTCGCACTGTCACTATCTCACTCTTTCATTGTGACAGACAGTAATAATCAACTCAAAATGTGTTTTTTTAAAATGTTTATTCACCATTTATGCTGTTTTCTCCTCTGCAGGGAGAGTATGGAGGAATGGAGCAAGGAGGGGAAGGAGGAGAGGTAAGAAAACAAACCATCAAATGATGAGCAACACTTCAGCCTCAACAGGAAGTCAGAGTCAATTCATTTACATATAACCTAATAAATTATTTGGTTGGTTACTGGACCAGAAGCTGCAGAGGAATAGAATAGAATAGAATAGAATAGAATAGAATAGAATAGAATAGAATAGAATAGTCTTCCATAAAGTGGGGGAGCGGAGTATCAAAGTATCCCCCATTTAACATAAAATACGTAAAATCAAAATAACTGAATATTAATTAAGTGCCTCCTGATAAAAATAAGATCAAAATTTAGCAAAAACTTAATTTTAATTTATCTGAAGTTACTTAATTCGATTCAGACAATTTCTGATTACTGGCTTATTGATAGAGATATATAAGTTGCACAGCTTTTTCTATTTTTTTCATCTGTATTATCAACTGTGGAAGTTTTTCTTAGGACAAAAATTGACAGAACTGAGAAGAAAAAGAGGATCACTGCACAAACACAAACTTACAAAATATTTTAAGTCTAGTAAGTTTCTAGTGGGAATGTCTTACTTTACAAAAATTAAGAAAACTAACTTACAAGTAACTTTTCAGCAATTGTAGAAATTTGTATTAAATTTGTATCTCCATAATATTAATGAAAAGGTGGTAGATTCATTGGCATATTATGGGGAAATTGTCTAGTTATGAGTGAATTTATCTGGAATTAGAGCTTTTCAATAATTATTAAGGAATTATTTACATAAAACGAGTTCTTATTGCTGCTGCAATGTTACTTGTAAATTAGTTTTGTGTATTTTCAAGTGCAATAAGATGTTTTCACTAGAAACACCTTCTTCAAATCAGACAAAAATGGTATCAAACGTTTGTGCAGCAAAATATTTGTTTGTGCAGGTATTATTTTAAAGATATTAAGAAATGTTTCCAAAGGTCATGAAAGGTCAACCAGGCACCTGGTGTTAATCAACTCAACTACAATTGTGCTGCTTTGGCTTTGAAGATGTATATTAAAGTTTGAAGGTCATTTTGATTTAGTAAAAGTGGTGGGGCTGGTTGACCTGTTGACCTTTCATTAGTATCTTCAAGGCCAAAGCGGCACACGGCATTTTTTTTGCGCCACAAAAACCAGCACGATTGCAGTGGAGTTGATTGCCACCAATTTTGATTTTTTACAATGTAGGGGGGAGATTTGAAGACTTCACTCATCCTCATTGACATCTACCATTGATACGGACGACCTTTGTGAAAAGGGGTGTTTAGAAACAGCTATTAATTCATTTCTAGCAGTCTTTGATGCTTCCATTGTTCTCATTTCTAGGGGTACTAGTCTCCTTCCGGACCCTCCAGCTGCCCCTCGCCTTCCTCGCCTTCCTCGCGTCGCCGTACCAGACTCCAGATGTTCAGCATATTTTTTTGTGACTTTTCGGAACCAAAATCAGAACAGACTCTTCCAGACGCCGCCCCTCGGCTTTCCCCTCACCGTCTAACCGCCCTGCAGCCCGTAGCGCCCCCTCTGCTTCCCCGGCCTCACCTGTGTGTTCGTGTAGGTGACCCCCTCCGCCCTCGTGTCGTTGCCACCCGACTGAGAAATTTCAAGAATCACCCAAACACAAAAAGACACACCTCAAGAAGGTGCCAGCATGAGACATGCACATACAGAACATACCATAAAAACCAGCAGACCACACACAGGGCAAACAAGTAGCTGTAGGAGATTACAACAGAGAAACCTGTCTTAATAGAAGAAAACGAAGTCATTGTGAAACCGAAGGAGCTGCATGAGAGGTTGTGCGTGTGCTGCAGGCCGTGTGTCCGTGTTCAAGCTTGTGTGCATGTGTGTTCAGCAGGGATCCACGCATTAAAGAACTGTGCTTCAGTTTGTGGCAGTAGGATGCATGAGCTGACGTTCCCCGTGGTGTTTTCTCTCTCTATAGGGCGGCTGTTATGTGTTGCAAAACGCCGGCTTTGTGCGTATGTGTTCGCTTCAGCATTTAGAAACAGGGTTAGCGCAGTAGAAGTGATGAGCAACGTGACGTTATGCATGAGCGTTTTCAGATGTCTGTACACGCCGTGATGTGTTTGTGTCCGCAAAGTCGAGGTAGGAAGAAAGAGCGTTCAACAATCGGTTATTGTTCGTTCGGTTGGGTTTGGGTGAGGAGTCCCTACAACAGCTGGACAATCTCTGTCTCACCATTAATGTGAACATGAAAACCAGCAAGTGTCAAACGATTACCGCCTGAACGCTGTAACTATTTTACAGTTTTCACTTCTCTCTGGAAGCAGTTTCACAAACCAGAACCACCTAAATATTGAACCAAATGGAGGTTCAGGTCCGCAAGTCGTGTTGTTGTTCTGACTGCAACGTAAAGACAATAAAAGCTGCTTCCAATGAACTAAAGAAGTCTTTAGGATGAGAGGTAAGACATTCTTTAAAAAAACGAGAAGTCCAGTTGCCTTTAGATTCAACACTTACAAATTTGCACCAACGAGAAACAATTGGATTTAAAATAATTTTTTTTCCAAAATAATTTAAATTCTTTGCATCAAAAGTTGAATTGTTACTGTCCTCTTCTTTACTTTCACCAAGAGGAAGTAAAAACAGAAACTATCACTGAACCAGGGTGTAGCACAAATCTGCCCTTAACGTTTCTGCAAAATATAATTATTTAAAAGCTAATACGCAACAACAAAAGTTATATTATTGGCATGATGACTGGATTTTGAGTGTTAATTTAATCACCTTTACAGACAAATACAATTTTTGACAGGATATTTTTGTGTCGGTGTTAAAATCACTTTGGCAGAGGAAGGACAAAATGCTCACTTCTAGACATAGATTTGCTTATTTCAACAGAAAATACTTTATGGAAAATGCTACAAATGAAAGAAAAAGAGGAATATTCAGATTTTCCCTCGTGTGTGAGTTGAGCTTTGGGAAACCAGTTTGCATGGAGTCATGGAAAACATCCAGCTGAGTTTCTGTGTTCATCTAAACCAGTGAGTCCAGTTTGATGAAAAGGAAAGGAATAAATGTTTAAGTTTTGTTTTTAGCTAAGCTCTGTGTGGTTATCTACGCTGAATGTGTTCCCTCTCTGCTGTCTAGGCCAGTCGGATAGATCCCCCCCGCTGAGTGTCACACCATCAGTCATCGCTTTAAGAGTGTGTGTGTGTTCAACTAGAGGAGGTTCAGCCAGAAGAGTGTGTGCATTTCTTTTTTTTTTTTTTACTTTTTCTTTGAGGTCAACTGAAACAGACTGCATGTTGCCTTACAGAACAACGACACACCCATAAAAACGCACACAGACACTTCAGAGAAAAAGAAACGCAAACCTCAACACAGCACACAACTAACCTGAGTCACGCACTGTGTTTAAGTTGGCATCACATCAAAATCGCTGATTTTATAAACCGTAAATGTGAAAATAAAAAAGGTTTTGTTGAAATCCAACAATGGTGTTGACGTCTTCATTTGGTGTGGAGGAATAAAAGGAAAGTCAACAGACTTGAAGTATGTTTAATTTGGAGCTGCAAGCAGGAATGCAGAAATCCATTTCTGGTAACCGTTTCCTTTAACAGGATGGGCATGTCATTTCGAAAGGAGCTGTGTGGAGAGTTTATGTGCAATCAGTATCTTACACAACACCTAATCAAAGGCAACATCATTGGATAAACTTGGTTTCACAAATCAAACAGCTTTAGTGTCTAAGAAATGGTAATCAATAAAACGGATTTTACTGTGAGGGAAACACATTTCTATTACAATTACAATTAATATGCAAAATCCGATTTATCTCAGAAAAATCCCAATTTTTGAAGCTTGACAACTGGAAAACAAAGTGTAGAAATATCATTTTTCCAGACTTGGACATTTTCGTTTGGGATTTTCCTACTTTTGTGATATAACTAGGGATTGACCGATTTAAAAAGTCTGACCTAATTCCGATTTTTCCTGATTTGACTGAAATGTTAAATATAGCAAGAAAGTCACCAAGTTGGCAACAGGGTTTAGTAACGGTGAACATGCAGCCACAACCTGGAGTGTTTATCAGTCAAAATCTCACAGCAGAACAAGAGGACAATGATCAATAAGATCGACTTCAGATGCGAGTTTCGGCTGATCAAAGTAACTCTCTTCCTGTAAAGGTGTCGGAAAGAAGTTTAAAGAAATCACTCGCCTTTTTAAGAACATTTTATTTGTCGTTTCCAAAGAAAAAAAGAAAAAAAATTGAATACAATAAAAATAAAAAGCAGTTTCCTCCAAAAAAAAAAAATAAACTTGTTTCAATGCAGCAATAGGACGGTTAAACTGATGAGGACTAACATGGTGCTCGCGACGCGCTAGCCAAACCTCCGCTCCTCTCTAGTAGGCGGCGGCGGGAGAAGCTGGGTTAAGCTAAAGCAACAAGGGAAGCAGAAAAATGAACAAATCCTTAGAATTTAGAAACGCTAATCTTTTCACCAGAAAGATTAAAACGACTAATCTGACTAATTCACATGGAGTTAAATCTAAATCCATTTTAATCAACGTCAGACTGAAGTGGTCGGCTCCCTTTGAGGTGCGACCTCTTACTGAAATAAGGCATCAGAAATGGCTGCAACACCAAGGTAACACATGCATTCAGCTACTACAATAGGAGCACCATGAACATGGCTGCCACAATATAAGTGCCTACAGGGCTGCAGTGGGAAGGAGAGTCTTCTCTCTCTTCACAAACACCGACGTCTGCTCCATCCCCGAGAACAAGGCGACATCTTTACAGCTGCACAGATATCGCAGTGGAAATGTGAGGCTGCGCGTGTGGGTGACTGCGGTAAACGGTGATATGTTCAGAAGGCTGTCTGAGGAGGTAGAGGGGAGCTGGAGAGAGGGATGACTAGCAGGAAGAGCGGAGGAACGGAGGACAGTGCAGGTTGGTGTTTATGTGAAGGTCAGCCCAGCTTCGTTGTAGACCTTGAAGACCTTCTCGATGGCGTTGACGTAGGCGGCCGTCCGCAGGTCCAGACCCAGGTTGTACTTGCTTGCTGTGCGCATGATTTGCTGCGAAGTCAGATGTTAGAAAAGCTTATTTATTTTTAAAATGAGAAAAACAAAATCCTCTGCAGTATTATAATGTTTTCATTGATTAACTGATTTAAAACCAACTAATAAGCAGCTTTAGAAAAGAATATTTATTTGAAAACGCTGCTCTCTTGTACTGGGAAACAGCAGATAAGCTATATGTTCTAGCGAGTCCTACATAGTTTTACTTCATATATCAGGGATGTCCAGAGTGAGGCTCGAGGGCCACATGTGGCCCCCAGAGTGACTTTGTGTGGCCCCCTAACTGCAATTCATATCAGCTTTTACTCATTTCAAATGTGGCAAAATATAGCAAGCGGTTTGAAAGAAAATGACCCAAATGTATTTTTATAAAACGGAATAAATTTGTTCAATCAAGCCGGAAAAACTTCAAAAACTAGATTTAAAAAAATAAATTAAAACAGAAAATCCTTTTTAATGCATGTAAAATGAATAATATCCCTTCTCTACATAATGAAAATAAATCAGGCTTCTTTTTTTGCTTAATTTTATTGTATTTTTGTTCATTTTGATTAGTTCTTTCCTCAGTGCTCTTGGCCTGTGAGTACTTTTGACTCACTTTGGCTCAAAATGTAACAAAATGTTTGGACATCCCTGACACAAATGACTTGTCTCAAATCTCCAGATTCCTCAGTTCATTTCCAAGTTCACCAATAATTTACAGCAGGTATTTCTATATTGTTGACGCTTTAAAACATGCAAGCTGGGAAAAAAAAAACTAAACAAAACACACAAAGTCAATATAAGGAGGCGAGAAAGCGCACTAGGAATAAGGGAAGAAGGAAAACTCCAAGGCAGCAAAGAAGGAATCCATCTTTACTCCTTCAACTTTAAGTCACGCTGGATTTACTGAACATTGTAAACTGAAGCCTGTGTGGTCCAATAAACAAATTACTCAGCGGTATACTATTTAATGCTGCCTTAAATTATGTTTTAAAAAGTTTTCTTGCAATTATTTAAGGTTTTATGACGCTGCAGCAAAGCATTTAATTTAAAATCCGTTTTGTTTTTTTTAAATTGAGTTTTTAGTTCATAACTTCAGCCTTTGTAACTGTGGTGCCAAACTCACCCGGGCGGACCGCTCCATGGTGTAGGCCAGACCAGAGTGAACAATGTCCTTCTCTGAGGCGCCCTGCAAATTAGGATTATTAAACGCTAAAACATGTAGAAACTTTGGAAACAAAACAAACGTATCAGTTTTTTAAACCAAAAACATTGTAACAAATGATTATGGTTTAGAATTTGTTAGCTTGTGACGATGTGGCTGTTTTCTGGAGGCAGTATTTCGTGGTACAGATCTTTTAAAATATCTACGTTGCTTTAGCTTAGCAGAGCAGACGTTACTCACAGCAATCCTGGCCTGGAAGTCGGCGGTGGGAACGATGGGGATGGGTCCTCCCTGCTTCCCAAACTTCCTCTCTAAACTCTCCTGCACAGACACTGGAGGGAGGCAACAGGGAAAGGAGAAAGATTAGAAAGATTAGTTTTAGGGCATTTTAGAAGGCCTTCATTACAAGGACTGTATGTAAGACATGTTACAAAGACTGAAAGGTAGAAATGACCAAAGATGCAACATTTTTCCCTGAAAAAAACAGAAGAGTTCTTAACATGCTTCACAGTAGAAACATTTGTCCCACATTGCTCACTTTGAAACCTAAAATCAATACAAATGTTGGTAATCTCATCTCCACATTTTGATTGACAGATGTGAATGTGGAACATCTGGTCACCCCACCCAGGGCTGCATTTTTTTGTTTCATTATATCTTCATTTCATATCTGGAAGTTCAAGGCAAACTGGTTCTACAAAGTACATTTTATTCTTCTCCATCACATAGTGAAACATAACTTTACCTCTATATGATTGGCTGCTGTGAAATACAGAGAAGGTATAAATAAACAGAGAAAGGCAGAAAAGAAACACAGACACTGTGGAGCTACCGCAACCACTAAACTGGGTAAGCAGATTTCCATTTAACATGTACAATCAACAGGTCTGTACCTGTGTTCTTGCTGTACAACAACGCAGGTATAGACCAAAACAAAACCATAATTTAAAGAAATAACTTTCAGAACATTAAACCATTTAAAAAGTAATTATAATACAACTAAATGAAATAAGTAACCAGTTTTGCTTTTAAAAATACCTTAAAATTTGAAAAAAATTTAATAAAAAAAATAAAAAATAAGAATATGAAGTTTTTGAGTGAAACTTTCTCACCATACCAGGGAAGCAACAGCAAAATATTTAATCACCGTTTTTCTCTTCAGAACACAGTGATTATTTACCACAACAACAGTAAAGGTTCATATTTAAATTGCTCATATGCAATTTAAGTATTGCATATGAGCAACTTATATATGAGCAACTTAACTTATATTCTGAAGTTTTTCTCTGTGTTTTCAGGAAACTACTGATACAGCGATTAGTCCGTTTTTCTTCACCACAAACTACTTTGAAACATAAACAGTAAAAGATGGACGGACAAGTAAGCAAAGCTAACTTTAAGTGTCATCCAAAGCAGATGCAATCTCTAACGGTTTGAAATGACCTGGTCCAAATGCATCATACACTATGTTACATAGAAAATTAAACTGACTATTTTTAGCATGCCAAAGTACCACTTCATTTATAATACAAGTCTCTTGTCTATTTTTTATTTTTTTTTATATATGCAGATGCCTAGAACATTCACATATCCCAATGGAGCATCACAATGGGCCAGAAAAAAGGCACGGAAAGCACAACTGGAAAATGCCCCAGAGACGCTGTTTGTCACTCTCAGACAAGAAATGGAAGACCAATACATGTTTTACACTCAGAATCCTAATAAATGGCTTAAAGCTATAAAAAAAAAATTCTCTGAACCAACTATTGTTTGCTATCAATGGAACACAGAAGCAGGCACCATTATGTTATATCCTACAACTGGAGTATGTGTGATACATGGCCAAAGACAAAAAAGGGTCACATTTTTGGACTGGTTTAGAAGAATAGTTGGTCTGCAAAATCGTGAACCTTAGCACACCATGACAACGGGTGTGCTAAGTATCGTATAAAGTTTCTAATCATTCTTCTTCTAATGACTTTTGATTAAATATTCTACTGATCAGTCATCCCTCAAGTTTTTTCTCGCCCCCCAACCATATTCTGGAGGTTATGTTAGGATTGCGGAGCGTTTTGTACTCACTGAGAAGGTGGTAGTTTGAGTCTCTCTCATACTTGAAGGTCAGTCTCCCATAGCTGACATGATTGAGATTCTTCAGCCACTCGAAATACGACACAGTCACACCACCAGCATTCAGGTACATGTCCTGCAAGGAAGAACATCATCATCATGTAGCCCTGATCGCTGTTACTTGTTGTGAACAAAATGTCTTCTGCAACCAAAAATGTGCTTCAAAATTAATTTGATTTCTGTTCAATAAAAATTTTTCTGTGACATTATTGTCTGTAAATTATTGACAACTACAAACAGGAGTTTTAAACGAAAACACTCTGCTTTAAAAAGTAATAAATACTGTTGTGAAAAAGTCATTTCTTCAGGAGTAGGTAACTTTGTGTGTTTGTCTCTCTAAATTGTCTCTCAAGGCAGTGGCTTGTGATTTGTTTGAATGTTTAGAGAAACATGAGAAGTGAATGAACTCATCAGGTTAAAAAGGTGTTAGTTGCAGAGAAAGAAATCTGCCCATTTTAACTCAAAACTAAAAATTTTAACTGAAGTCTATTCTTCAATGTGTGCAGATAGAGACAATGTGACAGACACTCTTCGATAAAACATGCATCAGTTAAATTTGACTTCATATATGAAGGCAACATTTTTTTTTCTTTTTTGTTTAATTTAAATCAAATATCTGTGGATTTGAAGTCTGCTCACAGGAATGACCATGACGTTGTTCTCCAAGAAGATCTTGTCTGCGTCTGGGGTGGTGGGTCCATTGGCTCCCTCAGCAATGATCTGACAGAAACAAAAGTTCTTCTTTAATGCAAATTCAAAAGAAAACATCAAATATCAGCCACCTTCTGTTAGTGGACTCAAATGTTCACCTTCGCCTTGATCCGGCGGGCGTTGTTGCGAGTGAGCTGCTTTTCTCCAGCGGCAGGAATCAGGATGTGGCAGTCCGCCTCCAGGATGTTCCCATCGTAGGGCTTGGCTCCAGGGAAGCCCACAATGGTGCCATGTTGCTGCAGAGAAGGGAGAACAGATATATTTTAATGTTTATTCACATTAAAAAATAAATCTAAAGTAAAGGAAGGTAAGGCGGCGCTGCTGGTACCAGTTTGTAATCCTCCAGCTGCTTTGGGTCGATGCCGTCTGGGTTGTAGATGGCTCCATCAATCTCACCAACACCCACACACTTGGCACCAAACCGGTGCAGGTACCTCATGGAGTGGAGACCCACATTACCAAAACCCTGTGGAGAAAAATTATTAACTGACGGAAACAGAGTTATGACACAAAAAAAAACTAAAATTGATTCTCTTCAACAGAAAACTAGCTTGAATCAGCCTAACTAAATTCAAATACTAAATACTTTGGTGCCCTCTTGTGGCCCAAGTTGGTTCCAAATTGTTCTACTGCTTAATATATTTTTAAATGTAGCTTCCAGCTACAATACAAGTAATTTTTATATAGCATCTCAAACTGTTAGAATATCAGTGAAAAGTTATTTATTTTAATAATTTTTCATCTGGCACAACTCCATTCAAAGAGCCACAGATAATAAATGACCCGTAACGTCCAGAATCTATTTCAGTCATTCTGAATAGATTGTGCGCTGCTTAGCAGTTTTCAATCAAGTGTTTTCATAAAATTACAACTTTTGTGCTCTTGTCTTTTGTCAGGAGCAGAACGAGGCGTTTGTTGCCCATCCAGCCTCTCTGCTGTGCATCCAGATGTTACTTTTTCTCAGCTTTGGATTAGTTATGTAACCACTGAGGAAGGCATAGAGCTCTTCATGCTTCCTTTACAGAAATGCTGATCTCATTTTCCTGCAGCACTGGCACATTCCCATACTGCCAATGGTACCAATATGGCGACTCATCAGGAGGAAGAGGAGAGACGCCACACCCACAATATTTTGAGAAATACAAAAGAGGCAAGAATAGAATTCCCAAATTATATAAAAAAAAGAGAAAATGAAGAATGATAAAGAAAAACATTCACTTAACGCAGCACAAGAGATCTGCTCTGTTAATTCTCATGTTAAATCTCTAGGAAAACTAATCTAAGAGTGAAGTAATCCTCAGACACAAACAAGAGGATTAGGTTTTTAAATAAAATCCACATCAGGATTCGGCTGTTGTCTCCACGACTTCACTCTCAGCAGCCTCCTCTCCATTATTCGTCACTGAGACAGATTCTCTGCAAACATCATCCTTCTTCACTGATGTAAAAATAAAAATGTAAAACCTGTCGAATCTATCAACCAGGTGACTGATATTTGAATGAATCCATAAGTCTACATGGAAGAAGTAAAGCTGCAGCCCCTCAGCAGACATTTTGCTGAGTGAAATGCATCAGGGCGGCGTATCGTGTTGCATTGTTGTCTAGAGAGCCCATAATTATAGAAAGCATTCTGGGAAAACAGCAGAGGCCACTGCTGAGGGGTTTTCTACCCATGTGTTGATTTTTAGCAGGACTGTGTGAGAGAAACCCTCATTAGACGAATAAAAGTGGGAGAAAGCTGCTCTTTCACTGTTTCATCTGCAGAAACTCCTCCTTTCAGACCCGAAACAACGGTGTGCGTTTCAGACAGAGGGCTGAGATTAATGAACGCATTTTAAACTTGATGACTTTTCAACCAAAGAACAGATTTCTAACTCAAATTGAGTTGCAGAAAATGAAGAGGGATTCTCTTCCTTCTGTTTACTCATTCCTCTCTGACTGAGTCATCGTTTTCCATGAACAGAGAAGGGAAACTTCTGACTGTGGTTTTCAGTGATCCACTGCCTTCACTGCCTGCACAGGCATTCATTTAACCAGAAAGTTCAATGTGCTTCAGCACGAAGCAGCACAAGGTTGTAAAGAAGGAAGAAAAACCTCTGTTCGTTTTTAAATCTTCTCACTCATAAAATCCTGGATGCTGTGGTGCATTTGTGTTCAGACAAAGATTTGTTCAGACTATCTTTGATAGTGGAAGATCAAAGAAACTGAAAGTTTCTTTGTAGAAACTTTGTGTTTCTACAAAATTTTGTAGAAAAACTGTCAGCTAGAGACTGAAACTTTTCCCCAGTCGGTAATGAACTAAACTTCAGCTCAGACTGGATGGAGAACATCGGACTCACTGCAGCACCTCATTTAGATTTAGGACTTTACTTTGACTAGACCACCTTAACACATAAAAACAGGCCAATTCAAAAGAGTAATATATTACTGAAAAGTCCATTTATTTCATAAACTTTATCACCAAGTGAAACAAATTATTCTGATTAATCACACAGATGGATGTTTGAAGGTAAGCTTTCAAAAACTTTTCTGGTAGCACACTTTGGTGATAAAAAAATACAAATAAAGTCACAAAAAAAACTAAAAAATGTTTTCTGGCAATTAACAACTATAAATACAATTGGCAATTCTAACTAACCTAAAACAAGACAAGTTTAGTCTGACTTACTTTCAAATAAGGAGAAAAAAAATGTGTATGAAAATATTTGGTTTCAACAATAAACGATGTTTTCCAAATTTAGGCTTTTAATCAAACGTTACATTTCACTTTATTACAAAACTGAGCAGTGTGAATATCAAGCACTTTCAAAACCTTGAAAACACCAAATTTAAATTCAAGCATTTTCACAGATTTCACCGAACCCTGTGGCAGGCTTCTGAATTTTATTTCAACTTCCTGCATTAGAAATATGCTTTTTGTAAAATCATAAAATCATAAAATTTATAGTTATCTCACCAGTACCACAAACCATCACAATAAAACTATAAGTCCACGTCGCCCACACTAACTAACATTAATAAAACCCCTAAACGGTGAGCCTCAGCGTACCTGGATGACGAAGGTTTTGTCCTGGAAGCCCGGCGTGAGGCCCAGAATGCTCATGTAAGACGCCTCGTTGATGAAGTTCTCGATCCCGTGGAAAACTCCACGCCCGGTGGCAGAGATGCGGCCGTGGATTCCTCCCTGACTGATGGGTTTTCCTGTCACACACGCATGAGCGTTGATGTCCTAAGAACATATGCAAGGAGGATCCGATTACATTTCCTTTTTACACACAAACACCACACAGATATGGACCAAATGTTACAGAAGTTAGAATGACTGGTGGAAACTGTGCAGTTTTAGGATGTTTTTCTGCAGTTTGGGGATCGGCTCTGACTTTGGTGCCGCATGCTTGACATACTGAGGCTGCAGTTCAAATTAATGCACTGCCATCTGTGCAGAAAGCATAAAGCTCAACAAACATCAATACAGGCTACCCACAATCCTCTGCTCTCAGTTACCCTGCCCAGGAATCTGTCACCTTTACAAACTCAGTCAAAGGAAACTGGACCAAAGGGGACAGGAGTGCACTGGCTTAAAGGAGAGGAAAGTTAAACAGTTTGTCATAATTCAAAGTTTAAAAGGTTTTGCTTGCTTATTGCTACTTACAATTATTTTTGACATATTAATGAAAAGAGTGAGTGATTTCTATAAACTTTCTTTGCTATAAATGTCTAAGTTTTGCTAATTTAAATGTTAGAGAGGGAAAAGTTCAGTAGCCTCCGTTCAGCCAGCTGTCTCTAATTACTGGTTTTATTTTGCAACTTATTAGAAAAATACTTTATAATTCCGGAACAGTTTTATGAGGTATGAAACTCAAACTCTTAAAATTATAAAGATGAACTTTCCTGTGATGCTGAAACGTGAATACATCATTTAAAAAAAAAAATAAAGCATGTATAGTGGAAGATCAAATACTTATTGAATAGCTGTAAACTAAAGTTTGGGTGGCTTCAAGTATGTAACCTCTGACCTGAAACACTGCAGCTTACAGCTTCTAACATGCAGTAATGTCCATCATACATAAACAAGATCAATTCTAGGAGAGCTCAAAAACTTTCTGATGCACTATTGTTTTCAAGTATTTAAGAAACAAAAGGAAAACAGAAGATTTTCTTTGACTATTTCTAGTGAGACGGTGATAAACGGGAAACAGAAAAAGGCTCTGGCTTCGTTTTCAGAAGCTGCTATGAAGAAAAAGAAAAAA